TCTATAATCTATCTAAAGATAAAAAGTTTAAGTAAATAAGCATCTTTTAAGAAGACCTTAACTAGGATTTAATTATTAGTATAAGAAGATTCTAATTAGGCGGGCATATAAGAGATAGCAACATCTATAAGACTGATACAAATTGCCTATATATAGCTCGCAGAATTAGAGGTAACTTTCTGATTAATGCCTAAGATAAGGGCTTCAATTTTCTCTAGTCTAGACTCAACTAAGGATGGATTATATAGGGCTGTACAAAGATATATATAGACAGCTAAGAGAAAAAGGGTAAGGAGAGAGAATAATAGATTGTCAGGTGATAGAGAAAAGAGAAAGGGCAAAGATTCGAGTGTTTCAATTATGCTAAGAAGGCTGGCTCTTTGCGTTCTGTCATTAGATAGAGCGGGAGGGGAGTAGAGAGGAATAGAGAGCTGCAGGATTTAGGAAGATTGCTTATTAATAGAGGGCAGGCGATTCGCTTGTAAAGAGGGCGCGCTTTAGGTGAGTGATAGGTCAGGTATAGTAAAGATGAAATAATATTATTTAAAGTTATATAGCTACTACTTATTAATAGGCTTTATATCCCTTGTATCCTTAAATATGTTACGTTTTCTTATTAAGATTAGCGCCTAAAATTAAATTATCTGTACTAGGCTAATTTTTAGGGTTATATAAATAAAATTTACGTTATTTCAAAGCCCTTAAAATCAGCTTTTAAATAACGTAAATTTTGCTTTTATAACCCTAATAATTAGCCTAATATAGACAATTTAATTTTTAGGCGCTAATCTAAATAAGGAAACGCAATATATTTAGGGACATAAGAGATAATATGTCTTATACAGAAGATTAATTATATCCTATATATAATTCATCTAAGGCAGGAATCCTTATAAATCTAGATTAAAAATTTATTATATAAGTGTCTCTTCTTTAGTTAGAGTCAAATTATATTAAATATTACGTTCTTTAGCCTTTAAGATACAGCTCTTTATTTGATTATAAAGGGTACTTTAAGAGACATTATATGTCTTTATAGTGTGTTAGATTAATATTTCTTAGTATATATAGATAGCCTAGATAGCAAGGAGAATTCTAGCTTCTTGAATTTAAGAATTTATTATGTTATTATATTATAGCTACATATAATAGTTAGAAGATTAAAATAAGAAAGAAAAGTGCGTAGGATACTTATATATATAGGACGCTT